GTGAGTCAGAAATAGAGTGTTTTATGTTCCCTCCGGTGCAGACACCCTCATGGCAGTCCTGGAGAGAGATACGCTGGGGGTGCGGGAAGTGCGCCTCTTCGGGGCTGCGGTTCGTTGGGCAGAAGCTGAGGCCCAAAGGCAACAGTTACAGCCCACGCCGGAGAACAAGCGTAGAGTGTTGGGAAAAGCTCTTTCCCTTATTCGCTTCCCGCTCATGACTATTGAAGAGTTCGCAGCAGGTAATTTTCATCAGATCCTTGATTATGAAACAATTTCCTGAATGCTTTCCTGAAAAGTGGATCTGCAGTATTTCACTTGACCGACTAAGCTAAAAGGCTACCCTGCAAACAAGCCTGCAGTGGCCCTTTACGGGCCCACTTAGGGCAAGCCTAAGGGCCCCCAGCGGGCTGCCAGCGCAGGGCCCCTGAGAATTTGCTCATTGGCAAAACGTTGGCCCCTTAGCGCTGGTCCTGCACGGGCAGCCCTCACTTAGCCCCCAGGAAGCCCTCACTATGCCCGCACTATTAATCTACAACAATACACCTGTTTCACTTTAAATAATTTCCAGTTACTATAATTTAAGTCTTTGGGAAAAAACTGTTATTATAGATCTGAAATTGATGCAGTCACCACATAACTAATGTCTGTATTGTCAAAAATGTACAGTTGTCAAAGGGATTTCAAATCAATAGATTTATTAAATACAAAATAGAAAACATTCAATTCAGGTTAATACAGCTACATATAGCCAAAAATGTAAATACACAAAAGAAAAAAAAAAAAAAAAAAGAAAAGCAATGTAAGATTGTAGGATTTAGTCATGTGAAAGTTGATGTGTGCTTATCTGTAGTACATCAATGTCCAAACATTTTCCATAGCTGAAGTTGGCTGATGACAAATTAATAATCCAAACTCTTGTAATGAAAACACGCCACACCTCTTAAACACCAGACTCTTCCTAACCAGGAACAATCACAAATAGTCCAGACTATGGTCTCACGTCGAAAAAAAACTTTAAATCCATATTCAAACTGGACCATGATGTGGTGAATGACCAATAAAGAGTCCTTCTAAAATGCATACAAATACACTGTCTGAAACTTTTAGCATCAATCAAAACATAGGCCATACATGCATGTAACATCTTCGCAAAAAAAAAAAATAAACTCCTTACTTTAAATTGGACTTGAAATGACACATTTTCCAACCAGGACACAGCACAATGTGTTCAGCAGATGAGCTATGCAGGCTACTTCTGCTTGCTATTGCTAACTCCCTCTACCCACATGGCTTTACTTAAGGAAACCCAAAACACCCTGGCACCCTTAGTGGTAAGGAAGAAAACTGCCCACAGAATTCTTATTAACAGGCTCATGTCTGTTACACCTCATATATGACTCGTAAGACCCACTTTCCTGCAGAGTTTAGCTCCAACTTTGATCAAACTCACCCACCTGTGATTTTCTAATGATCCTGAAGACATGCTCAGGTGTGTTTGATTGAGGTTAGAACTAAACTCTGCAGGAAAGTGGATCTCGTGAGCCAGATTTGAGGATCCCTGGCCTATATGAAACAACAGGTTCTGAAAAGGTCTCTTTTGGTTTGAGCCATTCCAGTTCAATTGAGTGGCTAAAGAATGGCCAGTCAATGTTGTTTGTATTTTCCTAGTTGCATTACAGAGCTGCCTACACAAAACCTGCATGGGCCCGAACGGGCTGGCCCTCACAGGGCCATCATGGGATTAATGTGGGCAGTCCCATAGTGTGGCCTGCTCACAGAGAGCCCGCGGTGAGCCCAAAGCTGTGGGCCTCGCCTGGGCAAGCCCGCACTGGGCCTGTTTAAGTTTGGTGTGGGCTGGCCCTAGCCCACTGTGCCCGCAAAAAGCCAGCATGGGCCCCGCAGGAGCATGTTTGCAGTGTAGTGATAGCTGCTCTAACTTCCTGAGTGGCATTAGCCATAGCGCTAAACCTTGTGTATGTGTGCGATAGGTCCGGCTCAGTCTGGTATACTCACAGACCGAGAGGTGGTCAGTCTGTTCCTGCATTTTACTGTCAATCCGAAACCACACGTAGAGTTTATTGATCGGCCTCGCTGTTGCCTCCGGGGGAAAGAGTGTAGTATCACACGCTTCAGTCAAGTGGAGAGCCGCTGGGGCTACAGCGGAACCAGTGACCGCATCCGGTAAGTGTTTTTTTAAAGCATTGATTGAGAAAGTGCCGAAACACTCAATGGGAGCATGGGTTTGATTCTAGTCATTTTATGTACCTGATATAGTTGGAACATTAAAAACTGTTGTTGAATAACGTTTGCATTCAAATTCCTCACAGGTTTTCTGTGAACCGCAGAATATTTGTGGTGGGATTTGGGCTCTATGGGTCCATACATGGTCCAACTGACTATCAGGTCAACATCCAGGTGAGAACCAAGAAAAAAATTCTTATTTCACCCATGAACTGCCTGGAGAGTATGTTCACTGATGGTTGGTGCATGTCTGACAGATGGTCTTCCTGTCTAAGTAGGCGATTCTTGGCCAGAATCAATTGCAATAAGGACCAAATTTTATGTAGCAAGTCAAAATAATTTTTTGTAGTTTTGCCCTTGAAGTTGATCTTGGAAGTGTGAAAATGTGGTAGTACATGAGTGGTAATGGTGCATGTTTTCCTTGAATCTAGATTATACATACAGACAGCAACACAGTTCTCGGTCAGAACGATACAGGCTTTAGCTGCGATGGAACGGCCAGTACCTTCCGAGTCATGTTCAAGGAGCCTGTGGAAATTCTTCCCAGTGTCAACTACATTGCCTGCGCCACCCTCAAGGTAAAACAGACTCAAAATTGGAGTATTAGCCCATTTATATGCTAAAATGGTATTATAAATACCACCTGCCACATACGAGCAATTGCAAGTACCAAATCATGGTTCCTTGCATCTTCAGTTGTGCTAATACTAGCTAATACCTTGTTAACTATAGTCTACTGGCTATTATTTATCTTTGGCAATATACAGGAATTTTAATAGGATTCCATGGGATCTGGAATTTTGTGTGAGAAAAAAATTTCCCATGCACATTTCACATCATGTTCAAGTTGGTCAAGCGAATTCATTGCATTGACCAACAGAAAGCTGTTTGGTTTTAAAAGTGACTTCTGTGTGAGCTGTGCTTCAAACATCACAATGGACTATCTATCTATTCCCTTGAAATCCTTCTGTTATCAAAGAATAATTATTTAATACAATATATCTGTATCATTTAATACAATATTTCATGAATTATAAATGAACCTTTGATGGGATGCTTTTGCAGGGGCCAGACTCTCATTATGGGACCAAGGGGATGCGTAAAGTCACCCACGAAGCCCCCGCTACTGGTACCAAGACCTGCTTTACATTCTGCTATGCTGCAGGAAATAACAATGGCACTTCTGTAGAGGATGGACAAATCCCAGAGGTCATCTTCTACACATAATGACCAAGCAGAATCTCATGATTAAGGACTCTTGCATTGCGTTTTGTGGCCAATTCACCTGTCTCTGTGTAGACCGGCGACCAAATACTGATCTCTCATTTCTAAAGGCTTTTGTTTTTAAGATTTGAAGCATGAGAATTCAGTCCTTTTAAAGTGTACTTAGGGTACCGATTCTGTTTCTACCCAAGTAGCACCACATAGTACCACCTTGATGTCATGAGCAGCCAATGTCATTGCTAATTAAGGAACAAATAGGTGAACTTCATCATTGCAGTGATCTACCACAGGTACAGGTCGACTCTAGAGGGTAACTCTCTTCCGTTTGTACATTTATTTGAATGTTGATTTTGGTCCCACCTTTGCCCCTTGATTGCTCAATGCTCATCAGTCCTTCAAATCGCACTGATGCACTTCAGCCCCAGGCGCAACAGCAAGTTTGGGGAAAATACACTACATCTCGATTAGGACGTCAATTCATTGTAAAATGGACTGTTATGTACCCGTTTTGAGTGGCCTGCACCCCTTGCTAGAGGTGAAACTCCATTTCTTTGATGGCAGTGTGAACAGTAGATGTTTATAAGGTGTTGTTTTACCATAGTTGCCCTTCTTGTTAATAGCGATAAACTACAAGCACTTGCATTCACTATGCCATTGTATAAAAGCTCTAAAGTATTGACTGCAGTGGACACATTTCTGTTACAGATTCTGAATATTCTTTCCTTGAGATGTTGATATAAAATGAACAGGAAACAGCTTCATGAATGTATCAATGCTTACCTTGTAAGCGCTATAAATATAATGTCCATGTCTTGTTTCTGTATGTTTAATTAAAGTCTGCACCCCTAGTTTGGGTCACAATGGATCAATTTATGCAGCATGCACAATAGTGAATACTAAGATTTAGATTTTTTTTTTTTAGTGGAATTTGCTTATGCAAAACTAGTTACAATTATTATTTTTTGACTTGTTGGTTACCGAGCAAAGTCGTGAGGCTGACTTCCAAGTCTAGGGTTTCTTCTGAGAAGGCTATAAATATTTTTTTGCCCACCAAGTCAGATTGCTTTGAAACTAGCACACTCTGACAGTCACCTATTATTGTTCCAAACACAAATGTGTGACAAGTACTTAAGTTTAATACTTTGATGTATTTTAAACATACTAATAACAGTGATTGCCTTAGCAGGTAGCGTTGATTAGAGTTGACATGCAATCAACTTTAACTAATGGACCTTAGTCAGAATAGCCGACATATTTAACATGGCACAAATGAAAAAACTAGAACTACAATACATTCAAGTTAACCAGCCTATTGAAGAGACCTTACATTAATCCCTCATTTCCATTCAAATTATTTTTGTCCAGCCTAAAATCCTGAAATGAAGTCTGTATTACTTTGAAATAGAAACCAAAGACTTATAATAACCTTGAAAGTATGCATGTACATACATACTATACCTGCCTACCTTCTCATAACAGCATATCCAAACCTAACCACAAAAAAAAAAAAAAAAAGGCAGAGACATTGCATTGCTAATCAATTTATATTTCAGGTTTACAGCAAGCACATAATACCCATGTGTATTAGTATACAGGCTATGAACACGGTACATAAATTGTGCAATTCATTACATTTGACTTTGGTTTTAGCACAAAACAATTTCAAATTCCACTAGGAACTGAGAAAAGCCACCATTTGCCTGTTGGTTCATATACAGATGCCTGCAGAAGGCAGACAATAAGGCATCTTAAAACGATGGTCACATCTTGTCTTTTCCATTTGAATTCATGTAAACAATCTCCATAGTGTTCTTGTCTTGCCTTCCTCCTCCTTGTCCTGAGGATCTAATTTGATGTCCAGCTTTTAAATCAGCCTAGCGGTTTCCTCCTCGAATTTTGCGATGGCATCAAATATCTACACAGTGGAAAAAGTTACAACTTCATAAAATATCCATATGTAAAAGGCAAATAATCCAAAGTAGTTCACAACGGCCATATCAGACTGAAATTTTTCATCAAGACAATCAGGTCAAAGTGAAGAATTTTAAAATCATCATTAATGGCTTGGATAGAACAATGTTATCACTCAAAGTGCAGATTACTCACTTTGAAGATAGGGTCCAGGATCAGATGGGCAAAAGTCCTGGGAAGCTTTTTGCCATCTGGTGTAGTGGCAGACTTGCTAAACATCCCAGAGTAGGAGTCAAAAGTACCTGCAAGAAATGGTCACTTTACATAAAGAAATAATACATTTTATTCAGTTGTGTTGTTCTGTTTGGTTTTCCTACATCACCTGTCTCCCCAAAGCTTCTTCATGTCACCCACCTTCTTGCACCACTCAGCTGGTCCCAGCTGGGCTTCACCCTTGGCAGCAAACTTCATGACATACATCTCAGCAAACTGCTTCAAAGTGAAAGCAGTCCAGATCCAAAGCCAACAGTACCAACGACTGGATCAATCTAAGAGCGGGATGTTAAAAAGTACACTTAGCTTACTTTAAAAATATATTTGGACAATCAATCTAATATTCAACCCCGAGATAGTGTAGAAGGATACGTTCTTTGAAAAATTGAAAAGTCCCATAAGCAAGCCATGAGGAACTCACCACAATGTTGCCCTGCCCCTAGGTCCATTCTCATCCTCACCATAGGTGGAGATGATCATGTTGACGTTCTCGACAACGTGCTGGAAGGTTTGGTACAGCTCTTCAGAACCCAGCAGCAGCTCTAGCAATGCACGGTCCATCTGGTTCATCATCAATACTGGCTTTATACTCTGACCAATGGGCCTGTCTGAGCACAGTCTCTGTCTGCACCCACACACCGGCAAGACAGCAATTTTTATAATTTGAATAAATATGCCACAATCATGCAACATTTCAGAATTCAAGTCATATCTGGCGTCTCTCATCTCTGGCACCTTACACTCTTAAAAATAAAGGTTCTTTATTGGAATCTGTGGTTCCATGAAGAACCTTTAACATTCATGGAATCTTTCCACTGCACAGAAATTAATTAGAAGCATAACAGGTTATTTTTAAAAATGTTCCAAGAGCTGTTCACTGAAAGGTTCTTTAGGGAACCCAAAACGGTTCTTCTATGATATCAAAATGATTTGACACCATTTTAACATCACAATGACAATTGATGCACTTACCAGACATATCCATGACCACCAATGCTCCATCTGTGACACGAAGCGCAGCCATAACCTCTGAAAAGTCATCATCATGCTCAGGAGAGTCGGGTTGATGAAGCCGGAGCCATCTTTGCAATGCTTAATGAAGGCCAAATCATTATCAGAGCTCATAGAAGATGGAGATGGCACTATGGAGGGAAATGGTGAATTCAAAGGGTTAATGCACACCTAATTCTCAATGTTTGTACATCAGCTTTTACAGTTTTAGGTGTTGCGATGTAGAATGGAAATGTGTAACACTCACGTGGATGGTGATGCAACGCTCCTGCTCGTCCTTCTTATCTGTGAAACGGGTTTCTCCGGCACAGGCTGAGGCGATGATACCAGCTTTCGACACCAGACAGTCTGTCAAAGTGGACTTGCCGTGATCAACGTGCGCAATCACAGACATGTTACGGATATTGGACTTCTCGTCCATGACGGCATGGATCTGGTCTACTGTGAAGTTCACCTAGCAAGGTAAAAACTGAGGAAATTCAAAATAATGAATATTTCTGGTTTTAAAAAAGAACATAGTTTACCTAAATGTGCACTAAGTCCCAAAAGTACCAATGGTTTTGGACTATATAATGACTACTAAAAATTGGCCTTGAAACATGAAGGTATAAATTATGCAGGAGCAAAGCTAGGTTTATGTTTTGTTCCTTTAAATGTAATGTGAACACACAATTCTAACAATTTTCTGAGCAGTGGCTGTTGTTTTAGTAAAAAGCATATTGTGCTTTTTATTTCAATGACAATGAACAGTAATGTGGTCATGTGATCTCAAAATGGCAGCACCCATGAGGAGCATGTAAAATGAATTCTAGACGATTGATATATAGTGGATAATCATCTTACGTTAGTGTACATTTAAATATATCTTTAATAAGTCTAATTAACTTGTGCAAAACTTTATTTGCAAAAAAACAACAACTGCAAACTAACAAGGTATTAAAAATGATCAATTCATCAACATTTCTTTTCAACAGTAAATGTACATCATTTAAACTTCTAGACTAGGTAGGATTTAATTCACATGCTAGTCAGTGTTTCACAAGTGGCTCGTACAGCATACTCACTATTAAATCAAATTCAACCACTCCAAGCATTTAAATCGTGACAAAATGTCACACTTCAGAAGACTATTAACACATAAAGTAAATACCATCATATATTGACTTACCATTTTGCCAGATGTTTTTGGATTCGTTTAATGGTGTAACGCTGGTACAGTCAGGCGGGGAAGAGGCTGATGACTTCCACTCTCATGAACATATATCAAGCGTGCGCCGTACGTATTGTACGTGATGACGTCGGGCCACGGCGTCACATTTAAAGGTGTAGCATCACTGCTTATCACTCTCTGACGGTTAGCAGGATATACAACGCTGATTAAATATAATTTAGTTACAGTAAATTATAGTCACATCATGAAATGGTACAAAATGAAAGAAATGGATAAATGAAACATTTTAAGCCGTTTCCAGAATAAAATAGCATTCGACCAGCAGGTGGCGCCTCATCACAACATTTTGTTATAATGTCTCCGAATTCTTGCAAACTCTGATTTACAGTCATGGCCAAAAGTTTTGGCAGTGACATAAATTGTGTTTTGAAAAGTTTGCTGCTTCAGTGTTTGTAGATTATTTTTCCACATGTTTCTATGGTATACTGGAAAACAAAGCATATCATAAGTTTTAAAGGCTTTTATTGGCAAACAAATAGAATGAGTCAATATTTAGTGTTGATCCTTGTTCTTCATAACCTCTGCAATTCGCTCTGGCATGCTGGATATTAGCTTCTGGGCCAAATCCTGACTGATGGCCATCCATTCTTGCCTTGTTAGTTCTCGGAGTTGATCACAATTTGTGGGCTTCTGCTTGTCCACTCGCCTTTCGAGGACTGACCACAGGTTCTCTATGGGATTGAGATCCGGGGAGTTGCCTGGCCACGGATCCAAAATGTCAATGTAATGATCTTCGAGACATTTCTTTATCACTCTTGCTTTGTGACATGGTGCTCCATCATGCTGGAAAATGCACGGATTATTACCAAATTGCTCGTGGATCGTTGGAAGAAGTCGCTCTTGCAGGACGTTTTGATACCATTCTTTATTCATGGAAGTGTTTTTGGGCAGAATTATGAGAGCCCACTCCCTCGGTTGAAAAGCAACCCCACGCAGGGATGATCTCAGGATGCTTTGCTGTTGGCACAACACAGGACTCATGGTAGCGTTCACCTTTTCTTCTCCGAACAATCGATTTTCCAGATGTCCCAAACAGTCGGAAGGGAGCTTCATCAGAGAAAATAACAGTGCACCAGTCTTCTGCTGTCCAATCCTTGTACTTCCTGCAGAATTTCAGTCTGTCCTTGACGTTTTTCTTGGAGAGAAGTGACTTCTTTGCTGCCCTTCTTGACACCAGGCCGTTGTCCAAAAGTCTTCGGCTCACTGTGAGTGCAGATGTTCTCACATCAACCTGCTGCCATTCCTGAGCAAGCTCTTCACTGCTGGTGACACGATTCTGTAGCTGACTCCTCAGGAGGAGACGGTCCTGGCGCTTGCTGGACACTCTGTGTGGGGTTACTTTTCAACCAAGGGAGTGGGCTCTCCACCTCATAGTAACAATCCTGTCAGATCGTCCATCCTTTGAGTGAGTGTGTAACCTTACAGGTCGGCTGATCTGGTTTCGTGGTTAAAGTTAACCTTTTCGACATGTTTCTCTGTTGTCGTTGTTCAGCAATAGAATGGACACGATGTTGTCTGGGGGTTTGGCAAAAGAAGAGTGGGACTGTGGGCGGTGCTCGGGGTGGTGACTGAAGGCGGTGACTGTGTAGTTCTGACATCAACTTTTTACGGAAGTCACAAAGGTTCGTGAAAAATCACAGCTAGTTTAAGCACGCTGTGTGAATTTTACTGTGGACTGACTGTTTTGAAACTTATATGGTAGTTACATAACACCTAAAAAAGCCAGGAGATTTCAGTTTTGACAATATGGGACCTTTAAATGGTTCTTTAAGGTGCAATATTCTTTGTAGCAATTTCCTTGCATGTGAGGCCATTTTGATGCAAAGCGATGATAGCTGCACGTGTTTCTTTGGAGGTAACAATTGCTAACAAGAACACAATGATTGGAAGCGCTTCTTCCCTCCTTTTATAGCAATCAGTCTGCTCTTACAATTTAGTATGATAGTGATTAACCTGACTAGTACTCATTCACACTTTCACATGTGCTGTTGATTTGATTAGTCAATTAATGTTAGCTGGTCATTTTGTGTCAGGATCAAAAATGTATTATATTTTTTTGTGAAAAGTTCATTTTTTTGGCCAATGAAGCTTTTAGCAATTATTTAAAATGCATCTGATCACTCTACACAATAATCTAGAACCAATGTGAATGAACACCACAACAGCTAAAGCAGCAAACTTGGCAAAACACAAAATTTATGTCACTGCCAAAACTTTTGGCCATGACTGTACACACTATCAATCAGCTATTACTAAATTTCTCATGCGGTTGTGATTGGGCATGGAACTGTGGGTAAAACGTGATGCTAAAGGTGATGGGGATGTAAATCATATTTGACAGATCATGTAGTATTATTGATGCTCAGATACTGTGTATGTGTTTTGGCTGGAATTAAGTTATCAAAATCTACTTTGCTTTATCAGGTTAGACGCCATATTGAATTTAACGTGAATGAAAACGAGGCTGTGTGGGATTGACATTCACTGTAGAAAGGTCTTAGATCATGTAATTTTCACAACTCACTTTTAAAACTTTTAATGGAGTTTTTGTCTGCTTTAAGTTTTTCAGAAAGACGTTTCATCAACTAAACAATCGGTATGTTGTTAAACAACAGTACAATCCATTGAACGCATTGTATTTCTGTTCCTCACAATTGCTTTTGGGTCAAATGGAGTAAAGTGTAAGTAAACCTCCATGACATTGATATACTGTATATATATATATATACTTTTTTTTTTACCTTGAAATTAAAAAAAAAAACTTTAAAATAGTAATTAAGTTGACTTTTTACTTACAGTGACTTTAAAAATTTTTTTTTTTTTTTTTTTTTTAAAACGCATACAATTTCTATCAAAACATTTCTAAGAACTTGACAGTTTTTTTTAAATAGGATTTTTTTTTTTAAGATTTCACCTTTGTATTATCAAAGACATCCTTATTCATCAATGACCTTTTAAACTCAGGATGTTTAACGCCCTCAAACATCCCTGTAGAACCGGACCTGCCTGCAAGATTCACATTCAATGGCAGTCCTGTAACCCTCCAAAGCTGCCGAATAAACAGTATTTTACATCTGGATTGAATATGTGATTCAGCACATTGCATGCTTTGGCTCGGGTCATGCATTTGCTTTGAAGTCAAGGACATTAGAGCAGCTTGATGTATGCACTCAACTATTATGACAGATTTTGCACTTCAGAGCCAGAATGTTTCATTTCTAAACACTTTGGGCTCTATTTTTGTTTGTCTTGCAGCCTATTCTAGGTTCAAGGGGCTGGAGCATCCAGATGGCTACAGTGCGCACGCGTATTGCATGTGAAGTACAGAATAAAATTATATTTTACTTACCGTCTATGCAGCAACAGCCTTCACTATTGTTGAGAGGTGTACGGGAGGAAGAAGAGACTGCAACCAAGTCAAGGTCATGAGTTCACTGAATACAACCATTTTAACCGAACCGAGAACAGACGGTTTTTGACAATGACACAATAAGACACCATTAGTCTGTCTTGAGATGAAATCAAAGTGACAGAAAAGAGCAACTTGGTCAGGCGCATACCAAGTTTTTTCAGTCATGCAAACAAAAAGAGAACAGTTCGTTTTATCATTTTACAAACATTGAATGTTAGTTTTGAATGTTTTCTGAAACAAGTATTAACATTTAAAATATGTTAGATGAACAACTAAAACGTTTCATTCTAAACACTTTGGGCTCTATTTTTGTTTGTCTTGCAGCCTATTCTAGGTTCAAGGGGCTGGAACATCCAGATGGCTACAGTGCGCAAGCGTATTGCATGTGAAGTACAGAATAAAATTATATTTTACTTACCGTCTATGCAGCAACAGTCTTCACTATTGTTGAGAGGTGTACGGGAGGAAGAAGAGACTGCAACCAAGTCAAGGTCATGAGTTCACTGAATACAACCATTTTAACCGAACCGAGAACAGACGGTTTTTGACAATGACACAATAAGACACCATTAGTCTGTCTTGAGATGAAATCAAAGTGACAGAAAAGAGCAACTTGGTCAGGCGCATACCAAGTTTTTTCAGTTATGCAAACAAAAAGAGAACAGTTCGTTTTATCATTTTACAAACATTGAATGTTAGTTTTGAATGTTTTCTGAAACAAGTATTAACATTTAAAATATGTTAGATGAACAACTAAAACGTTTCAGGGGGGAAAAAACATCCAATGAACAATGTATAAATAAGGTTATTATGCTAATGTTTTGAGAACAGTATTAAAGACCAGATACATTCGAACAAACATTGTATTAACGTCACTGGAAGAAAGTTCATAATTTTGAGAGAAACTTCTGAGCGTTCCCTGTTAGCTCGGATCTTGTTAAATTAATGTTCAGTGCATTGTTTTAGTGTTGTGTGTTACTATGATGGTGTTCTTGTGTATATCACATGTGCACCTTCAATATGTTAGTATTTACCTCAGCTTGTGGAAAAGCTGCTTGTGATGAACTTCTTCCTGTGACTTTCTCTTTGCCATCTGTGTTGTTAAGTTGGTTGTCAGTATGTTATAAAAGTAAAAACAGATTTTAGTAATTATTTCAGTTAATGAAATATAATTTTTTTATTTTGTAAATTTAAGTTCAGTTCAACTTAAAATGTTGCTTAAAATGTGGAAAAAGTGCCAAATGTTTTCTACTCGTTGTAAAGCAGCAAAGGTGTCCTTGCCTGAGTCATTAGGGCTAAATAGAAACGGTGCGGAAAACTCTGTGCATCACATTCGAAGCCTCTTAGTTTGTCATTGATTTCTGCTTATCTGTGATGTTTCAAAGGGGCTTTTGTCTTTGTAAACAATGCTTTTATAAGGAAAAAACATTGATGTATTGAAGAAGAGGGGAAACATCCAGGAAAACCGTCCGTCCTTAAGTTTTCCTTCAAACTTTCCCTGAAATTGACACTCCATGTAGGAATTCCACCGTCTAATTATGTCTCTTGTGGAGAGGTACGTGAGTGCTTTGTAAAACAGCAGCTGATGCTTTGAACTGTGTGCATGACGCTGCTAACTTTGATGGTGAGTAAGCGCAGTG